TAGTGTGAAAGAAATAATTTGAATCCATAATCCATCCGTCAAATAACGAATCCTTAGTGACAGACAAGGCATAATCATCATCGTACGAGACACCATCGACAATTATAACAATATCATCGTAAAACTCAACTTTAATTCTCTTACCTTTCTTATTCTTCAGCTATAGGCAATCTCTTTTAAAATGGCTCCTCTTGCTACAACTCTAACAAACAACACTACAAGTCCTACACTGATTACATTTGTTCAGGTTTACATTACTTCTATTAAAACGAGTACTAGTTTTTTCTCTATCTTCACCTATTAGAATAGCAGACACATGTTCATCAAATTCTCTTAAATGGATGTGCTAACTCAGAATCAAATTTCGAACTTCATCAATAATTAAACTTCTTGACCTAGAGGAATTACTAATAGCGGTTATGGTAGTATTCCAACTACTAGATAACGAGGACAATAGATTAAATATACGTACCTCATCATCAGAGCTAATCTCAACTCAATTCAATTGACTAATGACCACATAGAATTCATTGAAATGATCAACAGCCGACACATTTTTGTACATCTTTAACTAATACAAATGTCACATTAAGTTGATCTTGTTCATCGTAAATGACTTCTCGTACATTTTTGACAAGGCACTCATCATTCATACAATGGTCTTCTCTTTCTTGATGTTAACGCAACCTTACAAGCCAACGTTAACTGAATAACACCCAATACCTATTTATCTAGCAAATTCCAATTAGCTTGCTTCACCAACTCTAGTTTCTTCCTGGAGAAATCAACGTTAACTGAATCTACATCTCTAAAAAGTGAAATTCTTCCCATCAGATCTATCTATTCTCATTTTTCCTTCTTCTATCTCCATCTATTCGATTCACCTTAGCTAAGCCTAACTTTGATATCAACTATTGTGGAAATAAGCGAGTGAACAGTAAAATAACAAACTAAGAAAATAAATCGAACACTAGATTTATGCCGTTTGGTCGGTGTGACCTACGTTCAAGGGGAAAGCATCACATAATTTCATTATAGATCAAGTCAAATAACGGAAATTACAAGCACACTCGAGTCACGCAAATGCTATCAATGTTTCCCAGCCCGCAATCACACCTAAAAATTCACACAGTTAGCCTTCCAACACGAAATACTCTCTCAATCTCACAAAGGAATAATACAAAATCTTATAGGATTTAATTGGCTTCAACACTCTCAAAATTCCTTACCAAAAAAAAAAAAAAACACTCTCAAAATTCAACCTTACCAAAAAAAAAACACTCTCAAAATTCTTCCGAGTGTGATTCACGAAGAACCAGCCTCTTAAATTCTCTTCACAAGCAAGACTCACTTCTTATTTACAGAAGAAAATTAGATACAAAATAGGAAACTCCTTTCAGAAATCCAATCAAACTAGGAAACCACTTGAATAGGATAGTTTTCTTTTCGAGCTTAAACTTGAGACATATTTTCAGCAATATGAGTTGGTGAGGAACGTTAGCGCTAAGACCAAAAATCTCACAAGCGAACTTTTAAAAAGCAGTCTGCCTCACCTTCTTGCAGGAGTTCAAAAGGTGAGGGATGAAATTGAGCATCCAGTGGATGACAATGAGTACATGGCACAATTGCAACTAACAAGGAAGTGGATGCAGAACCCTAACTGTTCTAAAATCTCACATATGCGAGTGACATGATTTAGACTTTAAGAGTGGCAAATTAGATGACTCAAGAATTTGACTCTTCTCTAGGAGATTTGATTTTGGCCCCGACTCTAAACTCTAATATACTGAATTATAGCCATGATCTATGGTACGTACATCTTAACAAGATTAAATTACCGCAAGCAGAAAGTTCAAGTATTGTACAACAATAATAACAACGATGTCAAGTGTTATCTCACCAAGTGAGATCGGATATATCAATCTTTTCATGTCATCATGAACTACCAAATAGCTTTAGACAAAATATGCACGAACCTCGCGAAAAGAAGAAGAAGCTAAACCCATCCTACTCATTTGATAGGAACGTCTTAGCTAATGGGCAATCGCTTGGTCACTTTGCTAAGAAATCTTCCAATATAAGGAAGTGATAATCCTAGTAGTTAGTACACAAAAATTTACCTGCACGCCCATGCCAAAGGTTGTAAGAGGTGGTTATTATAATAGTCTGTTAACAAACCCAAATCCCCTATTTTCATTTTTGTTTATCATTCGAAAAAATTACAAATGCCATCTTCAGGTTTACTCTTCATATCAAATACTCCACTTTGAAGTTCAGCTGATTAGACTTTCGGATCTAAGGCCAACGAAGACTGCCGCACCAGCTCAAGGCCAAATCAACCGGCCATGACCAAGCTTTGCCATAGAGCTTGTGCGGCTCGTGAGTTTGTCATAGAGGCTCGTAGGTGGCCACGTTGCACGGCCTTGGTGACCACGAGCCACGGGCTTAGGCCAAGCTCGCATGGCCTCGCCATCAAGAGTTGTGAACAATCTCGCCACGGATAGAGACAGGGATACAGGGAGAGGGGTTTTGGGCGAGGGTTTCATTGTCAGCGTCAGGGCACAGCTGGGGCGTGGAGCAGCGGCTCGACGCTATGGGGGTGGCTCTCGATCGTTGCTGTGTCATGCTGTTGTGTGTGAGGCGAGAGAAAGGGTAGGGGAAGAAAGAGGGAGAGGGGTTTGGGTGTAGATTTTGGGTATGTATGAGGATAAATGAGCCTTTCTAAGTTGGAGTAGGTTTTGAAATGCGATGATGATATTTGATACGGTACAAGAGTTGGTGATATTTTTCTATAATTATCTCTTTTACCATTTAATTATCCTCCTTTCTTGCTAATCACGAGAGGATGTATTTAGCAAACATACATCTAACTTTGTAAACTAGTCTCCATATATATTATAGGACCTGAGCAAGTCCTTAAAAGGCTCCATCTCGGTTCTTGTCCGTACTTCGAAATCACCGGAATGTAAAACTTTCAAAGGGCCTCTCATTGGGAAAGACAAAGATACATGAGGAATTTGGAGTGCGAGACATGCGAGTACCGACATATTAAAAAAAGAACGCATTCATGGAATCCACTCCACAGAATGGGTACAAGCCACGAAGGCCCTAGTAGGAGCAAAAGCTCCATTCCTTCAATGTAATTCCCTCTTAACCGAACACCAAGAATTCAAAGGAAGCCGACATTATTCTTTTTTCTTTTTCACTTCACTTCTTTAGTATATCTGTTCCACCCATTTCTTGTTGGTCAAGATAAGTTCGCTTTCCATGCTCTCCAAGGGCTCGATATATAGAAATTCTTTTCCTGTCGCATCATTTGTAGTGATTGAGATTGTTTGATTTAGTTAACGTAAAGGCGTATAATTTGGGTTTGGCAACGTTAAACGGCAAGTCCAAGATATTACTACCGTCTTAGGTCAAAGGTCCTTGTCCGACTGAAGCAAGTCGACATTTTTTGTTTTCATGGCTACAATTAAATAGAGGTGAGCATGATCCAGGCGGGCGATTCCCGACATGAAACCAGGAACCGCCCAATAAAGACCGGTTTCGAGAAATTGGAATCGGAAACCGCCCGTTGATTCCATGGACCCACTCGAAAACCGAACACTAAAGACCGGTTCCGAGAAATTTGAATAGAAAACTACCCGTTGGTTCCATGGACCCACCCGGGAACCGGACCGCCGGTTCTCAGGTGGGTCCATGGAACTGGTCCCATCAAGTCTCATACAAATGGAGGTGATCAAAAGTGAGAGAGGGAGGTGATGAACGGCTAAAAGCGCGGCCATGAGTTGATGGGAGCTAAGAGTCAAGCTTTAGATTAGGGATTTTATGGTTTTCATTTTTCTAAAAATGTTATCTTTTTTATTGAAATTTTTCTAAAAAATTATATATATATATATATATATATATATATATATATATATTACCGATCCGGTCTGGTCCGGATGGGCGGGCGGATGGGCGGTTTCACGCCTAGAACCGGGAACCGGACTAGTCCTCACGGGAACAGCCGGTTCCGGGCGATTCTCGATTCCTTTGCACACCCCTACAATTAAACCAAGTGTGCACTTGGAGATCGCCCCTTTTACACCTTTTCAATTGCATTTCGTTTGAACTCTCATGTCGTTTTGCTCATGCCTTTTTTGACTTAATTATTTTGGAATTTACCACTCTAAAGACCTTCTTTGTCCAATTCGTAAAGAAATCCTTGCAATTGAATAAAACGAGTCGTGTGATCCTTGAATTTCCATCGTTAGGAAAGCCCGACTCCCAACTTTGCATGAAATTAACCGGGAATGAAGTGACTTGCTTTGAAAATTCACCTAACGGGTGATCTTTCTTATCGTCTAGTTTTGAATTTACTATAAAGAAAAGCTTCTTCAGGATGAAAATATGAAAAGAGAAATTCTAACCTTGAAAGAGTAATGCGATAAATTTTCTGCAATGGCCCGTGCCACTGATCTATTTGAAAATATCGAAATCAACCGAACAGATAATGGAAATCTCACGCATGTGTCGCGACATGAGAAAAATAAGGAAATTGGCAATCTTCACCCATTCTACCTTATTCCTTCTACTGTGTAAATATTTACCTACGTCTCATAACTAACTTAAAAAAGAAGCAAAGCAACCTGGATAAGTAATTGCACTTTTCCTTTTGAGAACAAGAAATCATTTTTCACACGTTTATTTCTTAAAAAAATAAATAATTTAAAAATAATTTTCTAAAAATAATCGTTCGTATCGCTTAAAATAATTAGTCGATAAAAAATATTCCATCATTAATAATAATTTATATTTAAATATTTTCGTGAATAATGAATCTTTCTCTCGTTTGCATATTTTCATAAATAACGTAAGCGATTAATTTTTTATCAAATTTTCTATTTTTCTGGAAATAAACGAAGTATTATGTAGATAGACATATAACTGGATAAGAATTATCTCGAAGAAGAAGAAGAAGAAGAAAAACCTGATAAAGCCACGATAAGATCACCCCAAATCTTATCCCTCTCTTTCACTCTCGCTGACCTTCTTCCTTCATCCATGGAGCTCTTCTCTCTGCAATCCGTCCTCCTCTTCCTCTCCATCTCCCTCTACCTCTACTTCTCCTTCTTCCGCCCTCCTCCCCACATCAAGCCCACCAGGACCCCCGGCTTCCGCCTCTACCCCGTCGTCGGGGCCCTCCCGGACTTCCTCAGGAACCGCCACCGCTTCCTCGACTGGATGTCCGTCGTCCTCCGCTCCGCCCCCACCAACAGCGTCGTCTTCTGGCTCCCCGGCGGCATCCCCGGCGTCATCACCGCGAACCCCGCCGTCGTGGAGCACGTGCTCAGGTCCCGCTTCGAGAACTACCCGAAGGGCGACAATTTCATCGCCCTCCTCGGCGACTTCCTCGGCAAGGGGATCTTCAACTCCGACGGCGAGCTCTGGCGGGTCCAGCGCAAGACGGCGAGCTACGAGTTCAACACCCGGTCGCTGCGGCAGTTCGTCATGCGCAGCGTGACCGTGGAGATCGAGACCCGGCTGGTCCCGATCCTGTCCCGGGCGGCGGCCGAGGAGGCGGGTTGCGTCCTGGACCTGCAGGACGTGCTCGAGCGCTTCGCGTTCGACAACATATGCAAGCTCGCCTTCAACGTCGACCCCGGGTGCCTGGCCGGCGACGGCACCGGCGAGGGGGAGTTCATGCGGGCGTTCGAGGACGCCGCGAGGGTCAGCTCCGAGCGGTTCATGTACGCCTTCCTGTTGCTGTACAGGGTCAAGAGGTGGCTCAACGTGGGGTCGGAGCGGCGGCTGAGGGAGTCGATCGCGACGGTGCACGAGTTCGCAGAGGAAATCATACGGTCGCGGATGGAAGAGAACAGGGAGGCTCGCGACGAGGATTTGCTCTCTCGATTCATCGGCCACGAAAGTGTAAGCCTACTGCATTTTGACAAAATACGTTATTTTAGCAAAATTGAATATTTTTTATAGTTCATTGGTTCACAAAAAATGAACTAATTGATGAATAGAGGCTAAAGTTATTCTAGTAGACAGAACTGGCTCCATTGTGTCAAGCACCAACGTAAACAGTCGTTCTTGAATTCGAAATTCAAGCCACGATCTAGCTTGCTTAATCGATGAAAGAGCAGCCCAGTTGATGATATTGGCACGAATTTGTAACTCGAATTCGACCTGACTCTGTGCGGATCGCCAGGTCCATGAGAATGGCTCCGCCTCGACCGAGTTCCTCCGAGACATTGTGATCAGCTTCATCCTCGCGGGGCGCGACACCACTTCGTCGGCTCTGACCTGGTTCTTCTGGTTGCTCTCGCACAACCCGGAAGTGGAGCGGAAGATCTTGAGCGAGCTCGAGAAGCTCCGGAAACAGAACGGGAGAAGTTTTGGAGACCCATACAGTATCGAGGAACTGAGGGACATGCACTATCTGCACGCAGCGATCTCGGAGGTGATGCGGTTGTACCCGCCTGTGCCGGTGGACACGAAGGCCTGCCTAGAGGACGACGTCTTGCCGGACGGAACCTTCATAGGGAAGGACTGGCTCGTCACCTACGACACGCACGCGATGGGAAGGATGGAGAGCATATGGGGCGAGGACTGCCACGAGTTTGTGCCCGAGAGGTGGATCGACGAGAGCGGGTTCTGCCGGACGGAGAGCCCGTTCAAGTACCCGGTCTTCCACGCCGGGCCAAGGATGTGCCTCGGGAAGGACATGGCGTACATCCAAATGAAGTCCATCGCGGCCTCGGTGTTGGAGAGGTTCGAGATCGACGTGCCGGGGCGGGATACGTGCCCCGAGCACCTGCTGTCATTGACACTGAGGATGAAGGGTGGACTTCCGGTGAGGGTGAGGAAGAGATGCGTGGACTGACTCCTCCATTTAGCTGCGGATTAGCAAAGAACATAATGGATTCGCATGTACGTAATGTATGACTAATCTGTGTTTGTTTGCCTTATTGCGTATTTAACTTGTCTCAAAAGTTCTCATGGTGGAAGCGAAGCTAATGCATTCCCTAATGTCGACAACACGCCTCCTCTGCTGCCGATAGCCAGCAGATGCGTGGATACATGGCCGATAGCCAGCAGATGCGTGGATACATGGATAGATCGATCGATCATTTTGGATCTCTGGATACAACAAGGCACCGGCTTAGAGAAATTTCAAATCGGAGAATTTGGTATGATCATAAAATTCAAAGCATGTGCTCCTTTCTTCGACCCTCTTCATATGAATTAGGTATGCAGTATTTATACATTTAAGAGTTCATTGTGATGAACGAGCTTAAGAATGGTGTAAATGTTTTGGGAGACGATAGATTGTACCAATGAGCTTATACCGATAAGTGGTTGAAATTATTTGGGGCGGCGAAATTAGGTCGATTGTGAAAATAGTGTTAACATAAATCGAGTTCATTCATCAATGCCATGGTTTTAATTTCTAAGTAGAAAGAATCATTATCCGGTGTTGTTGGGGAGCTTGAGTGCTTCTAGATTGTCACACCCCAATTCCTACAAGTATAGGGGTATTGACACTGCATCCTTCAACCTTAAGGACATAGCCTCAAACACAAACCTAGTATCAAAAATATATATATCCAACTATATATATTATGATAATATAGGAAGTTAGCTACATAATCATAGTTCTCAAATCCACTCACGACAATATATATCTTCAAACTAAACTTATATTTAAAACGCAACTACCAAAAGCTCCTCATCGATAGTGATCTTGTCTTGCTTGTCGCTAACTAAAGAACCTGAAAAGATTTGGAAAGAATGGCATGAGCAACCACGACACAGTGAGTGTTACATCTCGTCTAAGCAGATTGAACATTCACTATTCATCTTTATAAAACTATATGATAACTCATCAATCCCAAATCAAGTATAATATATACGTAGAATATCAAAAATGTGTTTTATCTTTTCAACAAAACTTTTCATATCATATCAATAAACAATAACAAATCAATCATCAATGCTCCATTTCATTGATTATTGATTAAATTCTATCAAATTAAACATTGATGATCTATTCCATCAACTAATTTAATGCTCAGTATCTATCTATGGTCACGTTTAATGCGCATGACAAAAGTGACCAAGTTTCTCCCTTAAATAGGTCTTCACCTATATCAGCCAGTGATTTGGCCTAGAAAGACGTCTTGATAATAGTATGCATACTTATCCTCTCGATGGATTCCTATCAAAGCGACATAAGCTTAATCCACTAACAACATTCTCCAATAACTCACACTCAAATCCAAAATCCATTTCAAAACTTGGCTTCACTGACCAAATCATATTTCTTTTCACGATTTAATTCATCAAACATAAAACCTTTTGTAAACCATATTCAAAGTCGAGAACTTTTCATAATTCTTTCGTAACAAGGTTTCACAAACCATTTGCTAGTAATCAGTTTAAGCTATAACCAATAGATATTTTTTCACTTCAAATAGGCAAAATGGTAGTAAATGCTTATCCGGATTTTATGCAATAAAAATGTTATTTCATAATTTATAGTATATCTAATTCATATCATTTTCGAAATATAGGTTTACAAACTCAAAGAAGAGATAGCACCACTGTGACATCCCGAATTTCGGCCCATTTTTGGGATTTATAAAACGCGTAATTTCATCGGTGTGCTTATAGTAAAATCTCGCCCGGAACCGATCACTCCCTTATCATTTTAAATTAGAGATTTCGCTAGAATCGCACTCGATCAAATTTGACCGTTATTTGGACCCCGAACTTGGCAATATTTCGAGTTTCGACAAAATAAATTGACGGTGTCAATATTATGGTAGCCAAACGTTGAGATTGTCGGGAATGATGGAAAAATGGGAGTTTTTGACCACGTGCGAATTTGGACTAGTAGGCCTCCTCGTTATAATTTGGTCTAATTAATTTGGCCTTTTCACTTTTACGGGAACTATTTTGGACGGTGAGACCATTTTCGGTTTTTAATTTGCCATCAGATCGCATTTAATATTTGAATGAAGTTTATTTTCTTTTATTTCTCTCCCCTCTCTCTCTCCCTCTCTCTCTCCTCCGCGCACACGCTCCCCCCTTCTGACCGCGCACGTTCCCTCTCACTCTTTCTCTCTCTCTCTCTCTTCTCTCCTCTCTGCCGCACGCAACCCCCCTGCAGAAGTCCACTCACGCCCATTCTCCCCCCTCCTCTGACACCCTCTCTCCTCTCTCTCTTCTTCTTCCTTCTTCTTCTCTTTCTTCTTCCTTTCTTATTTTCTGCTTCGGTCTTCTTCCTCCCCGACGAGTCGCGTCTGGACTCCGCTCCGCCCGACGCCGTCCCGCTCGTCGCCAGCTGCCGCTCGTCGCCACCGCGCGTCGCCCGACCGTTGCCGGCACCCTGTCGCCGCCACCATAGAAGCCCCCACTCTCTCTCCTCCTCCCGGCCGACTGGGTCTGCTTCACCTTTGCCCAGCTCGCCGACCGCCTGGGCTCGCCGGACCGCCGCGTGCCTCGCCGTCGCCGGCCAGCTCGACCGCCGTCCGCGCCGTCCGCCAGCCGCCGCCCCGACTGTCGCCTTCTCCTCCCTCGCGCGCGCAGCAGCGAGCTCGCCGCTGCTGCCTTTCGCGCCCGACCGCCGCTGTTCGCCGGCTCGCCGGCCGGCCCCGCGTCGCCGTCGCCGCCTCCGGTGCTGCCAGTCGCCGCCGTGTTCCACCACAAACAACCGGCAAGCCCCCTTCCCTCCCCTTTCTCTCTCTCTCTCTCGGTTTGGCCGTGAGAGGCCTTGAGCCGGAGGAGCTCCGCCGCCGCCGTCACTGTTCCGGCGCGGATCCGTCGCCTCGCCCGGCCGTCCAGCCGTTCCATTTCTCTCTCTATCTCTGACCGCGCCCCTCTCTCTCCCTCTCTAGGCCGTGGATTAGCTTAGACCGTCGCCGTCGCTCGCGCCGTTCGCCGGAGCCGCCGCCGCCGTTACTGTTCCGGCGAGGGACCGCCGCTGTCCAGCCGCCATTACCACGTGTTCAGCTCGGTTTGAAGCTTAGGACATCCGGTGAGTTTGACCCTAAGCCCTAATTAGGACAATTTGCATTTCTAGATGGGTTTTAGGGGTTAATTAGGGTATTTTAGGGGTTAAATTGTGGAGGTTGTTAGAGGCTGATATGGTGGCTGATTTCGAGGCTTAGTGTGATGATTTAATTGAGATTTAGAGGCCCGTATTGTGCTGTGAGTCGGCTGGGCATAGGCGCCTTAATTTGGGCGAAAATGTGAATTTGGCGGGTGCAAATTGAGGACCGAGTGGAGGCCGCTATGGGCTGATTTTTGTGGCCCGTTTGGTGACCGAGAATGATGATTTAATTGAGGTTTAGTGGACTATAGTGTGCTGTGATGTGGCGAGGCATAGGTGCGCGTGATTTGGACGGAATTGTGGATTTAGCGGGTGAAATTGGGAGACCGAATGGTGGCTGTCTTGGTGGCTATTTTACGAGCTTAGTGCGACAATTTAGTTGAGATTTAGTGACCATGAGGTGCCGTGGAGATGGCTGGACAGATTGGTTCGGAGTGGTCCAAGTTTGGAGTAAGTTCGGGCTTTAAATATGGATTTTAGTGCGCGCCTCATTTGATCTTTGTGGTGGCTGATTAGAATGATGGTTTGGGGAGTTTAATGGGGCATTTTGAAGATATTTATTGGCCTAGACATTGCGGTATAGTGGCTGGCCACGACAGGATTTGATTTAGGCGAGGCGTGATCAATTTGAAGTTTAATTGTGCAATTACCGGGAATGATCGCATTGATCAATTGACTAGCTAAATGAGCCTTGTTGTGATTGATTTTAGGATGCCATGTTGCTTGTTTAGCGGGACTAAGAATGGAATAGCTTGGCGGGCCTCGAATGCGAGGGTTCTTGTTATCCAGTTGTGTGGATTGTGCATGGATTGTGTGTCAAGTTGATGCCATGGCTGATTTGAATTGATTGTCTGATTGGGCATGTTGATTTATGAAATTGAATATGCGTGGTGCAAATGCGCATGATTGCATCATGATTTGAGTAAGTGGTGCGGTGCAAGTGAATGCCCGAGTGTGAAGTTTATGGCCATGAGTTTGCATCACAAGCATTGGCACGGCATGTGCATTTACAAGTGTGCTCGAGTGACATGTGCATTGTGATCACCTAAAATACCCTGATGCGTTTAACGCGGGGTTCAGATGAAAATTGGTGCTTGTGAATGTGTGATCACAATAAACCCCGATGCGTTTACGCGGGGTAGTGAACCCGTCCCGAGGCGTTTAACGCAGGACGATGCCCGTTTTGCGGAAGACGGCCAACCCGATGCGTTTACGCGGGTTCGGTCCGTATATGGAGATCGGTGTTGCGCCTGATGCGTTTACGCGGGCTAGAGACACTGGGCCTGATGCGTTTACGCGGGCCAGGAAGTGTTGGATAGTGATAGACCTGATGCGTTTTACGCGGGTCGGACTTGATGCGTTTAACGCGGGTCGGACTTGATGCGTTTAACGCGGGTCGGAGGAGAAATTGATAAATGGCAAGTATGCTAGAGTGCAAGCGTGCGAAAATGCATTGATGAGGCGTGAGCACGCGTATGAGCACGCGTATGAGCACGAGCATAAGCATGACATGCGTTGTGACCAAATGATGTGTACATGTGCTGCGATTGGGTCCTATGTTTTATGCTTGAACTGTAAGTGCCTAACCTGCAGGGCAAGGTGAGTGTTGGATTTGGGCCCGAGGGCCTAAGTCAATTATGATTTGCTTAGTGTGTTGATTTAGTACTCGTCAGGAGGTGCACTTTAGCCTAATTTAGGTTTAGGGAATTACTCGCTGAGATTTATTCTCACTGTTGTTGAAACCCAATTTTTCAGACCCCCAGCCTTGAGGATGCAAGGCGTATTGAAATGTTTTGGGAGGAGCCCCGGCTAGATATAGTGTTTGATCGCCGAGCCACGTACCCGCTTTTGACTTTTGAGGGTGAGCTGTATATGAATATTGTATATGTTTCCCAATGTCAAAACAAGTGTATATTTATCCGTGCTGGTTGTTGTATAGCTATCCTTGGTTAGGTGTATTTTAATGTACGGGTGGTTTTAATTACTTCCGCATGTGCTTTAAATCTCTGTGTTTGGTGTTGGGTCGGCGACGCGTCCTGGGACGTCGCACACGAATCGACCTTTGCGAGGGATGTGGCGCGCCGAGGAGTACGGGGCGTGACAACCACTCACCTTAAAAAACTGAAAACCAACCTACAAAAGTTACTCAAAGCCGACGCACTTGTATTTCTATCAATTAATTGAAAAATGATATCAAAATCCGAGTAATACACTACTTTAATGAACAAGTCGACTAAACTACGCTTATCCGTTTACCAATCGACTTCTACACGCTATCGAAGAAACT